TTAAACAATGACACAGTTTTTCCATTTCATTTGGCAAATTTTTTTCTCCCGCAGCCCATCCCGCCATAGGTCCCCCTCAGTGTGTGTGAGGGGGGGGACCCCTCGCCCCTCACTGCAACAACACCCGCGGCCAAAGGGTTAAACATTAACTTTAAACATTCCCTGTCCCGCACCAGCTCCTTTTTCCTTGAGCCCGAGGTGGGCTTTTCCCCCCTCTCCTTAAATAACGAGGGTGGTCCCAGCATACTCTATATCGAGACAGCTTTTCATCAGTTGCTCATCAGCATGCTAATTGCTGTATGACTAATTATGCCCTGAATTCCAGTTGATTTTCTTAATGAGACAGCTGGGTTAATTATGTAATCGTATGATTACATTAGCCCAGAGTGCCCTGGCGAAAAGGAAGGCGGGCAGGAGTGGGATGTCACCGGGCGAGGGGGGCACCCACGGCCACTAATGACAGGGGAGGGCAACCCCGCCACGGTGCTCGTGGTGTAAACACCAGGGTTAAATTATTAACAGTAAGAGCTGTGTCGTCTTGCTCCCAGAATGAGGGAGGAACAGGGGTTCATAAGCAAAACTCACTTTGGCAGTTCGGGTGGTCGTTGGTGACCCCGCTGTGTGTCCAGGGCTGAGGTTGGGTTTGGGCTGAGTGACATGGGGTGGTGGACCGGCCACAGGATCAGAGAATATTCTGAGCTGGAAGAGACCCACAAGGATCATCCAGTCCGACTCCTGGCCCTGCACAGACACCCCAGCAATCCCACCCTGTGCCTGAGAGCGTTGTCCAAACACTTGTTTTACTCTGTCAGCCTTGGGGCTGTGCCCAAACCCTGGGTAGCCTGTTCAGTGCCCCCACCACCCTCTGGGGGAAGAACCTTTTCCTGAGATCCAACCTGACCCTGCCCTGACACCGCTCCAGCCATTCCCTCCGGTCCTGTCACTGCTCACAGAGAGCAGGGATTGGAGCTGCCCCTTGTGAGGAAGCTGCAGACCCCAATGAGTCTCCACTCAGTCTCCTCTTCTCCAGGCTGAACAAACCAAGTGTCCTCAACCACTGCTTGTATGGCCCCTCTAGACCCTTCACCATCTTTGTAGCCTCCTTTGGACACTCTCTAATAGCTGTAGATCTTTATTACATTGTGGCACCCGAAACTGCACCCAGAGTGATGAGGGGCTGCCTTTCCCTGCTCATGTAACGTGCAGTTTGGGCAAGATCCATCTTTGAGTTTTTTTAAAAATTGTTCATAAAGCCAGTAGTTTACATGCATAAGCAACAGCAAAAAACAATTTGTTTCTTTTGCACTGCAATTAAAAAAAGACGCATCATCAGGGCATGTGTGTGGTGTGAGAACGGCTTCAGAGGTGTTGCTGTGGCTGGGTTGCTCCAGCTCGTTTGATGTGAAGTATTAACCGCTGTAAAAATTACTTTACATTTGTAACATTAATTTTTTCACATCTGCATCCACTTCTGTCCTTTGTGGGGACAGAAGCTCCTCTGCGAGGGGACGGTGTGGTGTCCCAGCAGTGAGCACAGGGATGGTGGTGAATCCATTGGGAAGGAAAGGCAGAAATGGGCTTTGCAGGTCCTGGGTTTAAAATACTGCTTCTCCTGTGGTGGTGTGGAGGAAACCTTGTCAGGGATCGGATCCAGATGCGCTGGGCTGTGTACGAGCTCAGGATGCAGAGGGTTTCTCTGTGGGTACGGGATGCAACAAGTGTTTTAGGAAAAATGAACAGAATAGGAAGCAATAGGAAAAAATACACTAAATTTAGTATAAAAATAGACATCTCGGTTTACTCTTGGGCAGTAATGATCTTACAAAACACTTGTTCAAGTTCTGGACGATCCTATTCCTTTTACCGATTTTCTCATTTTTTATTTATCCTGTGACTAGCAGGGATCCAGAACTCTTGCAAGAGAAGATTCAAACCAAGAGAATAATGTGTGATGAGTTTTCCACATTTCAGTGTTCAGTGAGGTGATTTTTCTCTTTTACAGACCACAGAAAGGGCATTTCCTTTGCTGCCTCTCTCCGTAAGCCAGGGCCACTTGATTTTTTTTGAGCCGTGTGTGCCTGTTGTTTGTGTAATGAATCGAAAGTTTTGGTCCATTGCTTGTTTAAAAATTCAGTGACCTCCTGTTAAATGACATGAAACATACTTTGTAAGCCTGGTTAATATAAAAAGGTATGCTTTTCCATGCATGCATATGTTGGGAATAGGAGAGTATTTTTATTTATTTTTAAATCCACTCCACTCAGGTAAGAAAAAAGTCCTTGTGACTGTAAGGTTTATACTTGTTTCAGTTTAATTGGTGTTCATAAATACTTCAGAAATAACAGGTTTTTAGGTTTTTTAAGCTAAAAGAGCATGTTGGAGCTTGCCATAAGAAATGATTTGTGTCTCTGCCTGAAATGTCTTGGTCATTTTGTTGTCATACAGTGATTAGTTTTCTTTAACACAGTTTATAAAAATTAAGTCTAAGAGGTGCTTCAGCCGTGGGTTTTTTTACATGTCCTCCAGCAGTATTTAGTGGCTGCAGGCCATTAGTCCTTCAAATAGGCTCTAGTGAAGTTTGAGGTTTAATGCACAGAGACTTTTTTTACATTTTGTTTGTTCTGCCACTGTTTTGCTACTTGAACATTAACCTTTAATAGAGCTAAATTAAATATACATGTCCTGATGAATAATTATGAGATTGCAAGCATTTTCATTTTGTACATAAAGCTTCTCAGGGATTGCAAATTTGACTTAGGGTTTAGTCATTATTCGCCTTATAATGCCCATGTTATTTTTGTCCTTTAATTCTTTACTGATTTCAATATAAAAAGCCCTCTGTACTCAGAGCAAAATGCCTCTTGTGGGTGTCCTGGCTTTTTACAATGGGCATGTTAAAACGAGAAGGGGGGAAAAAAAGTGCACCCACAATTTTGTGAGGTTCAGTTTCTTTCACCGTGGCGCTTTGACACCGTTCGATAGAAATCCCGCAGCCGAAGCTTCAGATCTACCCCCCCCAGCCCGATAACGATTCGTGGTTCCTGTAACAATTTAAGATGTGGATGGATTGAGACAATCCAGCCTTTCTTTATGTTCAGCAGATGAATGTCCCGGGCTGGCGCTCTGGGAGGAATGCTGAGCTGCAGGAGTGTGACAAAACGCTCCTTGCGGATGAAGGTCGGCAGACCTCCATGGGAGAGGGTGATGTTGTGACAGCCCACGCCGTAATTGGACCATACATAAATACTGCAGAGCCTTTAACTCGTGCTACTGCTGTGACTTCAACTTTATATTTAATTCCTTACCTGTACCCCCCTGTCTCTGCCACAATAACATTTTAAGTTTGATTTATTATAAATATTTTAATGCAGATAATAATAACGAAAAGTATTTGGCCTAAAAAGCATAAATGAAAAAGCTATGTAGTCATAAACTATGTATGTACGGAGAACAGATGACAAGCAACCTAGATTTTGTATTATGAACAGGGTAATGCCATAAGCTGTTGAAGAACTGGAGTAACAAAATGCAGCAGGCTGCTACTTAGAGTGTCTCTGAGCTCAACATAACCCAGTGCTATTCTTTTATAAACTATGCAACAACGCTGGCATATTGAAAAAACACACAGGCTCATGCTTAATGTGTTAACAGAGGTACAATAGACTTATTATGTGTTTCCAGAGACTGAGGGTGGTCTGAAAAATTAATGACTGTGGTGGTTGAAAATTAAGTGAACTCCCTAATATATACTGTTGTTGATCCACTGAGTTTGGTGTTTAGCATTCCTCAACAGGAGACTAAATCTTTGCAGTCATTTCACAAGAGATGCTGGCGCCCACAGCAGAAATTTATTCAATAATCTTTTATAAGTCCATCACACTCCAGTGTTTCCCTGCTCTAACTGGGAAGAAGTCCCAGAGTAAATCACACGTGCACATGTCAGGTGTGTGCTGGGGACCCTCTTTATCAGAAGGGGATGAGCATCAGAGTATTCATTTTGAGCAGACATTTGATTAATAGTATTAGAAACAGAGGGATCCAAACCCTAGGTTTATGGAGTTATTTACATCCACACAATATTTCTGATTGTTATTGATCTGTCAGTTAGAACAAATATAGCTCAGATCTCCATGATCAAATAAGCTCATTGAGCTCTGCTGTGCAGGAGGGCACAGTTTACTTCAGAAATTTACTCCTGCGGAAGCAGAGGTGTGTGAGGGACAGTTGCTGTCAGTGAGCTGAGCAGTTTAATTGCTTTTTACACAGAAAGTCTCATTTTGCGAACAATAACGTGAACAAAAACTCACGTGGCTTTTGTATCGTGACTGTCTGCACCCAGGGACACTCCCCTGTGGATTAACACCAGGGTGAAGAAGGCATGTCCCGATTTCATGGAATCCTGGAATGGTTTGGGTTGGAAGGGACCTTAAAAACTATCTCAGTTCATCCCCTGCCATGGGCAGGGACATCTTCCACCATCCCAGGTTGCTCCAAGCCCCGTCCAACCTGGCCTTGGACACTTTGAGGGATGGGGCAGCCACAGCTTCTCTGGGCAACCTGTGCCAGGGCCTCCCCACCCTCCCAGGGAAGAATTTCTTCCCAATATCCCATCTAACCCTGCCCTCTGGCAGTGGGAAGCCATTTCCCTTTGTCCTGTCCCTCCATGTCCTTGTCCCTTGTCCCCTTTCCCGCTCTCCTGGAGTCCCTTTAGGCACTGGAAGGGGCTCCAAGCTCTCCTCAGAGCCTTTTCTCCAGGCTGAATACCCCCAGCTCTCCCAGCCTGGCTCCATATTTAAGGGGTAGCACAATTACGATGAAATATTTCTGGTTTTTGAAGTTTGCAGGATATGAGGAATGTACAGGACTGATAACTCCAAGTAGGGCCTTACTGGCACTAAAATGCATATTAACAGATAAAAAAGGGCTCTTGAGCTCCGAACTGCTTGAGTCACAGAAGTGGTGCTGTTGTCTTATGTTTCATTTCACTGTTCCTCTTTCAGATCCGGTTCCAGCCTTGGATTTAGGACAGCAGCTTCAGCTGAAGGTTCAACGCATGCACGATATTGAAACAGAGAACCAGAAACTTAGGGAAACTCTAGAGGAGTACAACAAAGAATTCGCCGAGGTGAAAAATCAGGGTACGTTGTGAGCATATTCTTTTATCAGCTTTTAATGCACCCTGAAATTTAAAGGCAGGGATTAAATTCAATTTTATTTAATACAAGGAGAGTTGGCAGCGGCACTGAAATTCAGTATAGAAAGTACAGTGGTCTATTACAGCCATTTCTGTGTTTATGACTTTGGGTAGACTCTTTGGATTTGTTTAAAATTTCATTTCCTGTAACACCAAGGCAGAGGATGGAGTTGTTATTCTGCATATTATGTTGTAGCCTTCAGCCCCGAGAATTACACCTGACTGACGTTATATGTGACATTTTATGAGAGGCAGTGCTGGTACTGACATCAAGCTGAACGTGGGTGTGGGTGCTTGTGGAACATGCATCTTGCACAGACAGACGCAAAAAAATCAGTATTTTATGCTCACACAAATCTGTACAAAATTGAAGTTTTTCTGTGCTCTCTTTTCCCTTATCTAAATGTATTACTGGAGTACATTCAGCATACTTTATATTTACTCTAGAGACTATCCATAGAGCAATGTAAATACAAGCTATTACTGTTTAATTATTTAAGTTTTAATGAGACCAGAATGCATGAAAATACATGGAAATCTCAATGAGATTTAAAGCCTGTTGGCTTTAAGGCTGTTCAAGTTTTCTTGTGATTCAGAATAAAGTTTCCTGCAGCAGGAAACAAAACTTTACTCAGTTTTACACCTCACTGCCCATCCATGGGATTTTTCATTTCCATGTCTAATGCCCAGTTCTGAGTGGTAGAAAGGGAAATTGTCTTGGCATTTGGGAAAATGGAGATGTAATTTTTTTATATTATGGGACTGTTGCACCCAAGTCACATTTGAAAGCTGCATTAGCAACTCAGTTGATTTTGTTACATCTCATTTTCTGCAGAAGGAACATATATGCAGTTATATATTTTGAAATATATTTTGTTTTAACATAGAGGGTATAAATGACCTCTGCAGAGGACAGGTACCAGCATGCCAGGATTTAGGCTGGACTGGAAGAGATGTCATGAGGGAGCTGAATGCTCTAAACCTGACAGTGTTTTTTGCTGTAAATGTACAATAATTGCAGTTCCCTGTGCAGAGTTTTCCTGAGGCTCTGCATCCTGTACATCCAAGCAGGACATAGGGGTTCATCCCAGAACGTGGAAAAGCTCTTGACTTCCACAGTTTTTTGCTGCAACCGCTCACCAACTGGCATTTTTAATTTTCCCTGGTGTGCTCTCACTTCCTTCCCATTTTCCCTCTGTAACCTTTGCCTTGTTTTTCATTCCAGTGCAATAGTTTTACTCTCTGTGTCAAACAGGGATTAATAAGCTATGCAGGGAAAAGCCTGTTGTTAGCTGAGGGTGCTTTGATCAGGTAATCTCTTGGTTTGGAGGGCTGTGTGTGAGCTGCACGGTGCCTGTAAGAACTTCTTCCAAAACTGGTATAAATGGCAGTGGCTGACAAGCTTTAGCTGACCTGAGCAGTGAAGAAGGCACTTAGTGCTTCAAGCAATGTAGAGGATTAAACTGTACTTGTCCAGCACATCTATTGTTAGATGCTCAAATGTAAAAAATTTTATTACAAGAGTCATGTTTTTTTTCCCATATTTGCACTTCTTGCGTTCATTTTTGTAGTTTTGTTTCCTTTTAAAATTAGACATTCAAGCATTAGTCAAGATGCAATTACATGCATTTCCATGAGATTATTTTGCTCTCTGCTTCTTGACATACCCGAATATTTTGTCAGATTTATGTCTGAAAACACCAGGAGCAAAGGTGTCTGTGGTGCTGAGTGCACCCTTTGCCCGCAGGAATGAGCGTCCTGTTGTCTGTGTGAAGGAGCATCCTTTGCTTATTCAGGAAAAGATCAGAATTTGTATGACTTCCCGGATCTCAGAGAAGATTTCCCTTTGCTGGGAAAAAAAAAAAGAAAAAGAAGTGACGTGTCCTTTTCACGGCCTGTTACTCAGTAATGAGCCTCAGCTGATTTCTGCACAGCCAGCAAAATCCCGCTCCTTCTCTCGCAGGCAACTGGTTTTTACTACTCTCCTCCCCCCTTTTTTGTGGTCACAGTGGTCCAGGCTGTCTTTGGTAATGCCCAGACAGCAGATCATGTCACCAGCTACCTACTGTCTGCTTTACAGTTCTTGACTCATCTCTAAACATCTGGATTTTGAAAGGTTTTTGTGTGGGTTTGTGTAATACTACTGAGGCTTTTCCACCCAACCCCATAGGCTTTATTTATCATATCAGAGCGTGTCTTCTTATGATGTTTCTGTGCAATATAAAAATTTATATGTCCAAAATATTTTAGTCTTCCTTCAATCATTGTTAATGGCATCTGTTAATAAGCTGAGCTCTTTAACCCCCTGCCTGCATCCCTGTGTGAGTACACTGAACTGTATTGCTGCTGGGAGGCTTCTGGCAGTCCAGTGCTTTTTCCAAATTCCATTATTGTTACAAAGCATACTCTGGTGAATGTCCTGCTTTTCCTCTTCAGAGCCCTATAAGGATTCACTCCTTTCCTGTGGGTGGGATAAAAGAGTGTTCACGTAGGAGCGGGTCAGGACACGTAACAAGATGTTGAACCTGCAGGTTTATGCATCTTCTCTCATCCATATCCAGGCGTGGGAAATGCAGGATTGCTCCTTTATCCAAGAGAAGGAGTTCTGCAAGTTCCCTGGAAAGCTGCAAGTGCTGTGCTCAGAAAGTTAAAACAGTGTGTAAAGCCCAGAGTGGATGATGAGGCAGTGAGAGCAACTGGGATGTGCAGAGCCGCAGAGTGGCTGCTGTGTCTGAGCTGCTGTTAATGCAGCATTTCTCATCAGTTGTGGAGCAGAACGGAGCTGTTTCCCAGATATGTGTTCAATTAGTGTGAGATTGCATCTGTGCATGAACCATAGTGAAACTGCCTCTTTGGGCAGGAGCACAGTGAGGTGAATTAAGTGTCCTGTGTGTACATCCGTACTTAAATCTACACCGGGACTTTATTAATCTTCACTCAGCACTGAGCTAATTTTAGACTAGTCAATAAGGTGATATTATATTTTACAATTGATTTTTTTTCTCCTTCTTTTTTAAAAAAAGTCGTGTTAGAGGAACCATCTTCACTCTGCTTTCCAGCAAACTCCATTGATCCTTCTCAACCTAAACACTTAAAGTTCAATTTAACATTTAGGGAGTAAAAGGTCTCCAAAGGGACTCATATCCATTGATTTTGTGTCAGAGTTGAAGAGCTAAAGTTTAAAACACACTGAGCCTACAGGGTAAAGCAAGCCTTGTGTTGTGGAACCACGTGGAGCTGTGTAAACTCATTCTTCCCCGTTGTTTCTCTGTAGAGGTTACAATAAAAGCACTTAAAGAGAAAATCCGAGAATATGAGCAGACCCTGAAGAACCAAGCGGAGAACATAGCCCTTGAAAAGGAACAAAAGTTACAAAATGATTTTGCAGAGAAGGAGAGGTGAGTGTGGGCGTTGTGGAGGAGGAGAGATGTATTTTTGTGTTTAATCTCCGCAGCCAGGACCGACTCTCGGGCGTGCGGAGGCAGCTCATATATTGAGTGATTCCGGCGATTTATGTGTTTGACACGGAATCATTTGATACTCAGCTTTGCACGGCGAAACAATCGTGAGAGTGTGGAAGTAAAACAAGGACAGATTGTCTCTTGGCCGGGTGTGGTGGGGGGGTGTCGTGTTCAGGAGGGTGCAAACCTGCTTTTATTCCTCACTGGCTGTATTGTCCTCTGTGACACCAATCTGTCTCCATTAGCCGACAGGGTAATCCAGCCTGCTGTGTCACAGAACCGTGCTACGGGCTGCACAGCCCTGAGCTGCTGGAGATGAAGCACCCCACAGCCTGGGTAAAAGATGCACCACCCTTTCTCCCTTGGCAATGCCTGAGAGAGGGGATGTGCACCTGAACTATCCCGGGAAGGTTTGCATGTTCCTAAGCGTTTTCCTACGTGCCAAAATTAAGAAGAGTTTTAGTAATTACTCATTTTTTTAGAAAGCATTTTTAATGCATTTCTAATCTTTTGCAAATGGGCAGGGAGTGTTTGAATCTTCGCATCAGTGGGCAAACAAATCAGGCAGGATAAGACATAGGGGCTAAAGAGGGAGTTCTTTCAGACTGCGTTCCCTGCCTTAAGAATTTACTTCTCCCAGGGAGCAATAACACTGAAGCTATAATATGTTCAACATAGCATGGAAAACCTTCAGTTTACATGAACATTTTTGTTGGAAAGTTGGTTGTTTAAATTCAGGTCTGAGTGGGAGGAATCTACCAGTGAGAATGCAAAGCTTTTTTTTTTAAAGTTTTCAATACCTGTGGTTGCTTTTCAGTAAGTAGCTTGTAAAGCAAGTGGTTTTAACAACTGCAATTTAGATACACTTAAAAGTAAAATAAAATGGCAGGTCGTATAATGCAAATAAAAGTGTGTAGAAGAGGTTTTGAGGTCTCAAAATATGTAGCTCAGTTTGAAGGGAACTGACGCATGGTTCTCGCTATAAATAGTTATTAACCTGGTCAGCAGTGTTGGAGAATAAATTTATGCACTGTGTGGTGTGCAGGCAGGATGCTGGTAGTTTCATAAGCCATTTCACAATTCCGAAATGTGCAGAATATCCTAAAAGCAATGTTGTAAAAAGCATTGACTCCTGGGAGATGTTGGAGCAGCTCCTTTCAGAGATGAGTTTTATAACTCCTGTAGCCTGGCCTTTAGCGAGGAGTACAGTGCCTCCATGGCCAGATGATGTTAAAATGGGTAGAACTGACACAAACAAGAAAATGTTGCCTGTGGACATAAGAAATGGGAGCATATTAGAGGTTTGCTCGTGTTATATAGAAAATATCAGTGTGAGGTTTGTTTTGAAATATGTGTTTTCTTAAAGATTGGCTAATAATATTGCTGCATTTGGCACCCATTACAGCTCTGATGAAACAGCTGCTGCATCCATTCACTCTATCAGTTATGGCAACAAATTCCTTCATTATGACACTAAAATGGAAATGTATCATTCTTCTTGTACTGGCTTTGTACAACAGAGGGTGCTTGGTGACAATTTTCTCAATGTGTGTGACATTTCCCAAACAAATTATGCTCAAGAAAACCTTCCACCAAAGTTGTCATTTATATAGCAGTCAACTCTTGTATAAGGTTCACAGCTTATGTTATGAAGTGGCTACGCTGTTAAAATTTTAATAAGTGGGACCACAAAGTACAAACAGTATCACAACATGACCCTATTTATGGGTCCCACTGAAGCACCTTGTAGCCTGGGTGGTGTTGGCAGTTGTCTGATTGCGGTGGAGATGTTTATTCGCTCCATCTTCCAACTTTTTGCAAAGCCCAAAGAAGTTGTTCAAGGTGATTACGAGCTCTGTTCTCACCTCTTGTCTTCCCTTGGCAGAAAATTGCAGGAGACGCAGATGTCGACAGCCTCGAAGCTGGAGGAGGCCGAACACAAAGTTCAAACTTTGCAAACAGGTTTGGCTTCGCTTTTCTGACCTATTCCAGTGATCAGGTGGGAGGTGAGAGGAGTTGGGTGTAGCAGGACTGTGTGTGAAGCAGCTCTTGGAAGTTCAGGGAGATCCAACAGGGCTTTGCGAATCAGAACTCCTTTAGGGCTCACAGGCAGGCTAGTGGTAAATACAGGAGACAAGTCCATGAAGGACCTACAGCATCAGAGTATCCCTGGAATTACAGCAGGCCGTGGAACTTCTCATCAATGTGTGTTCTCCTCTGGCTTCACACACTCCTGAACTGAGATAACTGTGTGTAGCGATCGTGTGAACCCGGTTTCTACCACTGTGTCTTGCCTGTTGCTATGACTTGCCATTAGTTTTCATCCCTGTACTCTTGGGGATTCCAGGTCTGGCCAGGCACATTTGGCTTTATTTACTGTGAGAAAACAAGATGTTTTTTTCCCTGAACTATTCCAATGAGTATTTCAAATAAATAATCAGTTTAGCTGGTTTAATAAGAAATCAATGATGTCTAGCTTTGTTAAGCAGAAACTGGGAATTTTTTTGCAGTGTAACAGAAATACTGTAAGAAATTTTTAAAAAATCAAAATTCTATGTTTTTTCTAATTCATAAGCCTAGGTAGAAAGATATAGCAAAGAATTTTTCATCAGGAGATGTACAGCTTTATTTATGGCTGAGTGCTGCTGTTTCAGTACTGTAATGCTCCGTGTTTATGCCTTTTAGCCTTGGAAAAAACCAGGACAGAACTATTTGATCTGAAAACAAAATACGATGAAGAAACTACTGCAAAGTAAGATTTCCTTGTTTTCTTTCTATGTCTCCCTTCAGGGTATCACTGTTTTTTTTTTTTTTGTTTTGCATCTGTCTGTTGGAGACAGACGAGATGGGGGAGGCTCAGGCGTTCAGATTTGTTGGAAAACATGGTCATAATTTGGTCTCCTATGGAGAGTTTATTAGATCTCATCTTTTCTTCCACCCAGTAAGACTTTTCCTGGCACACAAGCTGCTGCTTTCCTGGTTTCATTCTCAGGTGCTTCACCTGTGTGTCTTTGACACTATATATCTTTTGCATTTTCTTTAGAAAAAGGGCAGCTTCAGAAATATTTGCTGTGATCTTTCAATCTTGGTGAAAAAAAATTTAATTTAGCAAAGGATTTCTGTGTCACTGTTAGGCACCCTGGTTCTTCCTACTGGGGTAGCAGTCATTGCTCTTTCAGGTTCACCCCAAACTATAAACAGTAGCATTTTTGACAGATTTCTCTTGTTTTCAAGTGGGACATGAAGGTGGTAGTCTCAAAAATATATATATTCTTGTCTTTCTAATGGCTACTGTTTTCAATTATCCTCTGGTTTTATTAACAATCCAGGCAGGGAACAACAAAAGAGACAGACTGCTGCTGGTTTCCTTTGAACCCTTCATATTTAAGGAAAGTTAATAATGAGAAGGAATTCTCATGATCAGCAGGATTAAGCCCAAGGAGTCATTTCTGTGTCTGGAAGTGGGATGGGAATGAAGAAGCCGTTTCAGATGGCTGGGACAATGTAAGGGAAGGGTTGGGAGACACGTCACCTCCCCATGCCCACATCCTGCAGAGTCCCACCTTCACCTCACTTCCAACCCTTGCTGCTGCCTTCACCACCCTCCCTGGCTCAGGAGAGATGGGAAGTGAAGGCTGCTGGGTCATGAAAATCCATGGGCTGGGTTGGGTGGGAGGAGTGACCTGGGCTTGGGTTTATCTGTAAAGGGCTTTGTGGTGTGGCTGGTGCCAGTCTGGATAATGCAGGGTTTTGACACCATTCAAAATGTCACCAAGTCTAAATTTCTTAGCACGTGGGTTCTGTGACTGTGGAGGATCTGATTCCCCACTGAGCACATGGGGAAGTTGGAGCTCACCAAATTCAGCCTGTGGTAGTTCATAATCAATCAGCAACTGGAGCTGAAACACCTTTGACACCATTCAGGATAAGGTAAATTTTGGGTTTGCTCTGTAGGTCCAGTTTGCTCTGAGTTCCGTGCAAGATGAGTTCCACGTGAGGTGATCAGCAGTAGTTTTGTTCCCTCGTTGATTCATCCCTCTGTAAGAGACACTGACTAATGATGGGTCTGATGGAACCTTAAATTCCTGCAGATTCCCATAATTTTTTTCCTGCACTTAACTGATTTTGCTGTTATTTTGTCTTGCAGTCTCTTCTGGGGGAACAGGCAGAGATCAGTGGTTGTAGGCACTGAACCTAATGACCCCTCACCCTTTTTTATGTGTTTATTTGCAGAGTGTTTGCTTCATTTTTAATACTATTTCCCTGAGTGCTGTAATTTATCTTGAACTGAGGAAAATCCGTTCTCTAAAATATTTGTTTGCATTTCTAATCTCGCTCTTTCAGGGAGATTCACACAGAAATATTTTCGTGATTTTGAGTATGATTCTTACCTAATATGTATAGAATTACATAAAAATTAGTAACATCTGCAGTAACAAGAAGTTTATTGTGTTCTGTGGCAGAATGATTATGAAGGCTGGGTCTGGAATATAGTGGTCATGGAGCTGAATCCTGAAGCAGACATTAAGCTTGTACTTTATCTCCCAGACTAATGTACTGTGAAAACAAACTTGTAGGACCTAATAACAGCAGAAATATTTTATCATTGTTTTGGATATTTATGGCAGGAATAGTTCTTGCATAACAACAGTCGTCTGTAGTGTTTGTAGCCCAAATTTTGCAATATGGAAATCTAGAAAAACATGAAAAGGGAACTGAATGTAGACAGGGAAATTGAGTCATCTATTTTAATTGTAAGAGCTGGGAGAAATGCTGAAGAAACACCAATAAAAAGGGTGAAAGACAGTTTGATTCTCTTCTAAAAAGAAACCCTCTTTTGATCTAAGTCTGAAAAGCTACTTGTATTGCCAATTTTAATTTTATGTTTTAAAAACATGTGATTTTTATCTTAGGCCAGAATTGTTAGTTTTACAGACAGTTATTTGATGCAGATGAATTGGAGTGCCTTCAGGAAAAAAAACAGATAATTGTCAATTTTTTAAAGCTAACAGTGCTTTTAAGATTTTTCAGCCTCAGAATAAAGCTGTCTTTCAACTACTTGAAACTTTGAAAATCTTTCACACCAAAAAAAAACCAAAAAACAAAACAAACCAACAAAAAAACCCAAAAAAGCAAAAGGAATACACAGTGAGAAGCCTCCATTATCAGCATTAAGGAGTCTGGATTTTGTCCTGGCAATGGGTCGGGATCTTGAAGTCGGGAATCATCGTGTCAGCTTGTTTATCTTAACCTCCCGTTCAAAGTACGTGCAAAGGGAGCGATGGAGGTGCAGCTGGGCACCTTTGGATGAGATCAGTGGCTGGAATGAAAAATCTCCAGTCAAACCAGGTTCTGTCATCCCCACGTCTAAAAATCCCCCGTTGCCTTTCGCGGGGAGCAGGTGGGTCTGTGCCCCCACCCCCGTGCCGGGCGCGGAAGGTGTTAATGACAAAAAGAAGTTTATTATGTGCAGTCATTGCAGTCTGTCAGCTGGAATATCAGAAGCTGCATTTGACAAGATGGCAGCAGCAAAGTTTTCCATGTGTAGGCTTGAAGTAAAATGTAATTAGCCTTTATGTGCAGAACAAGGATCCATTGATGAATACAGCTGGTCTTTGTTTTCTTCTGTCATTGAGTGTGGGAGGTAAAAGTGTTCTTCTTCATGTTTATTAATACAGGATTCCTTAGACAAATGGCAAGCACAGTTTAATATTTGTTGGAACACAGAGGGGCTTGCCAAAACAGTTGTTGTGTAAGAGGATTTCAAGGTTTTCAGATTATAATCATCTCTGGGTTAAATAAATGAATGATTACTCTGCCTTTTTCAATTAAAGAGGCACATCCTCTCTCGAGGCCCGATACTGGTTTTGTTTGCTGTCCCACACGTTTCTATCAGCAAACCTGGATTTAACCAGCACTAATGAGTTTGATCTGGAGATTCCATCGGAGCTGGAACTGAAAAGCAAACTCGGACTTGAGTTTCAGGAAAATTAAAGAATGTTGGGTTTGGGTTTTTTCATAGTGCAACAGACTTTTTTTTTTTTTTTTCCTTTCTTTCTCCTCTGCAGAAAAAGAAACATTCTGTATACATTTCCTCACTTTTCCAGGGACAAACTGTTCTCCTCTGTAATGTTGCTCTTTCACTTCTGGTTTGCTGCGGAGTCCAAACAAGTGTTTGGGATTCCCAGCTGAGCAGTTAACGCTCCCACCCGGAATGCTTGAAATCCAGTTTTTTAGATCAATTCCAGAGCCACCTCTTCTCTCCGACCCCTCCTCTCCCCCAACCTAAATGAATTCTAATTGGAAAAGGATCTTGGGTTGTAGCACATACAGTAGGCTTGTTACATTACTGTTAACATGTGGGTTGAGGCTCCCTGCCTTTGATGAAAGAAAATATCAAATTTCACTGAAATGCTCCATTTTCACCAGCCAACTTTAAGTAGTCTTGTGAGGGTTTTGGGTACTGCACCCCCCCTTCTGCAATAAAAAGCCTTCGTAAACAACACAAACCACAAAAAGTTTAGGTTAAGGTTGTCAGTCGGAGCAGCTCTGCCACCAGCTTTGTTACCTGAGGATTTTCTGAAAGGTTCAGACTTTTTGTTCTTTTAAAAATAGAGCGTGCACAAGAATGCAATGGGATATTCCTATTTCATGTTTACTGAAGTAGTCATCTGAAAACAACTGCTTTCAATAACTCCTAGGAAAAACATTTTGCCTCCAGAAGATGAAGCAGAGAATTGTTGTCCTTCCATAGATCAGAATGATTATTTTTTTTTTTTTTTGGCAGCACAGCTGAGGATGACGCAGGAGGGCATATGGGAACAGAAGGAGGTGCCTTTGATTTTTGACTCTCTGGGGTGAAGGCTCCTCTTCCACATTATCAAACAGACCTGTTCTTCAGGCGTCAGTGTAGACTAAAGTTATAAAGATGTAATTTTCTGCATGGAAGGACTGTAGGATTGAGCTTGAATACAGACAGAGGACTAGAAGTTGTAGAGAATTCCTGAAGAGTTATTTCTGCCCCAAGTTATGTGGTGGAATTGGATTTCAAGTATTCCCGTGAAATCTGTTGCATTGGGGCAAATCTCCATTAACTTGGACTTCAGGGGAAACATTCCCCAATATGTAGTGAGAATTGAATTATTTACTTTAATTTTTTTTAACCAAATCTTTCTTGGTTAAGTGCTGGCTGGTGCCAATATATCACTTCTCAGATGTTTGTAGTTTTCCATTTTGATGGTGCTCAGGGTCAAATTGAATAAAAAATAAAGTCATGCTCCCTCCAGCATCACATAATTACTGTGATAGATGATCTCAAATGCTGCTTCCCCCCATTGAGCATGAAATACTGTAGTTAGGGTGGTTGTGTTGTACATGACACGAAATAGCTTCTATTTGCTGTGCCTTTAAGGTCTTAAAGTTTCCTATTTCCTGTTCTTTTGATGAGTCATTAACTTCTAATGCTTAGCTCTGGAATTATTGCTGTATTTAAAGTGATTTCCCTAAAAACAGGAGATGGAGAACTTCATAGGCCGTGTCTCTTGGTATTTTCTCTTCTTAAATTTCCTAATGATATTGCTACCAGTGAAGCCCCAGGGGTGGTGGCGATGAGGGGGTGAGAAACCAGGGAAGATGTTACAGAGAACTACTTTTTTAAGAAAAAAAAGTGAAGAAAAACTGAATGTTTTGAATCTTACAGAAAGCTCTGTCTGCATTTTGCAATTCGAGGTGTTTGTTCAGTGTTTTAACTGT